AGATGATTGAGGGAATGAAGGAAGACAGACAATAGCTAACACTTTTGAAAAATGAAGACAGCCATGGAAAGCACAACTGCTGAATAGAATGACTAATAACTAATCCATATCTAGACATAGGTTAGCAAAACTACATAACATTAAAGATTTCTGATGAAAGATTTCTAATCAGCAGCAAAATAAGTCACAGAACTTATTTAGTCAAAGAACTAAAGGAAAATAACTGTCAATCTAGCTAATAATCATCCCTTCCCTACCTATTTCTTAACTCAGTGGAGAGAGGTATGCCAGCAGAAGAGATACTTGGATTGGAGTAGCTGGAATTAGCAAACATCAACAATATCTGGGAAGACACTTAATTCTATGGAAACTGTACCTGTGTTTCCTAAATGTGAGGTGGAACTGATGACCTAGACATAAGGCTCCAAAAGCTTTTCCCTTTGCACTATTTCTAGCCAAAAGCTGGATTTTTCAGTGGCAAAGGCTTAGAATTATTTATGGAGCATGTAAAGTGAACTCTACATACATAGCATAGTAATTAAAACTGAAGTCTCTAAAATCAGACTAATGGGGATCAAATCTTGACTGCTTGTTAGGCACTGAGTGAATTTGGTCATGTTACTTTACTACTCTATGCCTCAGTTTCTGCAGCTATTATCTCACAGTTTAAAAACGATTAAATAAGGAAAGACATATAAAGCATAGTACCTAGCACAGAGTATGTGCTTAATAAAGCCCAGTTATTATCATTACTTAGTTTTGACCATAGTACTATAATTTGATTACATAGTTGTAACAAATTAATTTTACTATGACTACTAAAAAAAACCCTAAAAATATAGGAAACATACTCTGACATCTACCGAGCAGCCCACAGTCCATGATGGATTTCCCAGCACTTGATTTTGGCACAGAAGATGAACTAGTGAAGATTTCCCAACACCTGTAAAAGATACAAGAACTCAAGTTATATAAGAGACATGCTGAAATCTGATAGCAAAAATATAACTGAGAATATGCAGTAATAATGGTATGTAAACTATGGTTGTTTAAAGGATGTTCATACCGTATCAGGCATTTAATAAGCTTTATGAATAATGGTCAAGGAGGGCTTGTTAAAACATAGAATGCTGGGTCCTGCTCCGTTTCCTATTCAGCAGGTCTGTTGTGGAGCTCAAAGATTTTGCACTTCTAACAAACTCCTTGGTGATGCTGATGATACTGGTCCAGGGGCCTTGCTTTGAGAACTACTGTTCTAGGGCAATTTCATATGAACTAGTCCTTTCCTTTTGAATGATTTCATCTCTTCAGCCTTTTTTAGAATTGTAGACTATTAACAGATGTTGGAGGTAATGCTCTATCCTGATGACCAATGGAGAGGTCTCTTCCATGGCACCATTAGATGATCTTTCAGATGGTGCTTGAACACTGTCTGTGACAGGGACTCACCATTTCACAATTCCTTATTTAGACACTCCAATTCAGGCAGCCAACCACTTGGCTCAGCTTTACCCTCTGGAAAAAAGAGAACAACTCAACTCCTTCTTCTACATCATGGCCCTTTACCTTAAGGCAGCACTTTATTTTCCTGCAGCTCTCCTGGGTTCAGGGCAATCTATATGAGGGGGGGAAGAAAATGAGTTTCCATTTACATGATGGAGTCACTCATATAATTAATAGCATTTTGATGCCATTATGACAAGCATGGTTGATGAATCTTCATGCATCATTTGTTGTATAAAAAATTTAGACCATCTCTTTGTGTGCAATTTTGTGTATGAACCTATCATTTATGTTTATTTTTTATTATATGAAGTTATATTTACAGACAATCAGAAAGTATTTTTTAAAAAGAAGAAAAAATCACCTGAAGAGCACTATTGTCAACATGTAGGTTTAATTCCACAAGCAGGGTTTTCTATAAGTGGATTCTTACTGTAAATATATAAATGGTATACTTGAAAACAATAAATCATAAGGCTCTGTTTACACATCTGGTTTTGTCTGGACTATACTACCTATTCTTCCCCACCCCTGCCCTCCGTTGGCCTGGTGACTTAATCTGTCAAGACTCAGCATCATTCTAGTTATTGTCATTTTTGATTCCACACAGGTAGAACTAAACACATTATCCACCATCCTCTGGGTCTCCACTGTGCCCTGTACATTGTTCTACAGAACACTTAAAACACATTACACTTGTTTATAGGTTTTAGATTTTATTCACTGTTTAATTTTAATTTCTTTGAGGACTGGGTTTTACTTACCATTTAAAAAAATTTCCAATACTCAGAACAGGTCCTTAAATAGTACTTATTTAGTGACTAAAATTCTCCATGTTATTACAATCTTCCTAAACATATTTACTATCTCCTTTATAATTCAGAATACTGACATAATAATTTACTTAACTATCCCCTAATTACTAGATATTTAGGGAGTTTTAAAATTTTCACTATGCCAAAAAAAGATTTGTTTAAACTTTTGATTAAAATTAAAATTATTTTGCCCGGTTGTGGTGGCTCAGTGGATTGAGCCATCATCCCATGGACCAAGAGGACCCAGGTTCAATTCCCAGTCAGGGCACATGCCTGGGTTGTGTGCTCAATCTCCAGTAGGGGCGGCCAGAGGCAGCCAATCAATGAGTCTCTCTCATCATTGATGTCTCTATCTCTCTCTCCCTCTCCTTTCCTCTCTGAAATCAATAAAAATATTTTTAAAAAATGCATTCATTTGCTGGGGGGTGGGGGGGAAGAGGCCCAAAGTAATTAAATAAATACCAGCTGCAAGTATTAGTTGTTGGTAATGTATTAAGCTCAACCCTTGTATCTGAAATAACAAAAAGTCAGTATATTCATGTTAGTGAGACTTTCAGGATTCCTTACTAAATTATCAAATATATCTAAGGGATACAAAACAAATCTCTACATCCCAAGGCATTCCTTTATGTATTTGTGAAATCCTCCAAATTTCACGAGGGAAATAAGCCTTTATTCAAAAGGAAACTTTAAAGGTTGAATACAAAGACAGATGAAGTGTTAAGTATATTCTAACCTGATAGTAAATCACTGTTAAAAGGGAACTGATAAAAAGGCAATAACTGACTTTGTACATATAGCCTGACGTCAGTGAATGTGTAACAAGATCAGTCACTTTCCTGGTGGGCATGACTGTCTTCTGTTTTACAACTAAACTATAATGAACAAACAAACAAAATAAAGCTTACTAATTGCCTGATCAGTTTCCACCATTTAAAGCAGCAGCCAATTCAATCCTGCTACATAATTGATTCTAGCTATAAACCCAGCAGTGTCTGCCCTGTAGCACATACTTGTGTTTTTTGTGTTATTGTTGTTTTTTTCGGGAGGGGGGAGGGGGAAGGAAATCTGCTAGTTGCAACAATATCTAACATGAAGGGACTGTTAAATGTAATAGAAAAGGAAATTATAAAAGAGACACCCACTTCACATACCATGAAATTGTGTTAGCTCTGTATTCCAGTTCTAAATCCTACCTTGATGATACACTTGCCAAATCCCTTTAGACCACCATTACTTTATCTGTGAAATGTAGTGATTTTATTAACTTCAGCATCACTTCAAGCTAAAGAACCGGAGTTGACATAAATGGATTATGTTCATAGGATTTCATAACGGGATTTTCTTAGGGGATTTTAAATGATGCTCTCTGTAAAATATTTTATAATGTAAATAATCTTCAGGCAAGGTGAAAAGGTTTCTGACCTCCTCCCTTCCCCAACAACGTTGTTCAGTCCTGTAAGGGTAATTTTCAAGCTTCCTGAGGTATGGCCTCTCCACCTCCAAGTGTCTGGCACAATGTCTTTGCTCACAGCACACATTTCAAAGGTCAACTCCAGAGAAGCACAACTATGAAATGCAAGGTTAGCATTTATTCCAAGCTCATAAGGAGCACAGGAGTGGAGGTACGGTGCGAGGGACAAGGACAGTGAGGTGGGAGGGGGAGATACAGACTTCCAAATGTCCAAGGTGTGAAAAAAAAGGAATTTTAAAACTAGGAATAAACTGGGGCTCAGCATTAAGTCCTAGTTAATTCATAAAAGGCCCTTATCTTAATTTCTCTCTTTCTTACAACCTAGCACGTAATAGGTTTTTAATTAAGATCCAAGAGAAGAAAGAAATCAAGCCCCGCTGAGAGTAAAACAGGATTACCCTCCACTATCTCATTTCATAACACAGCTTCGTGTTTAAGTATGTGGACTCCGGGTCCAAACCGGTTCTGTCAGTTACATTTCGCGCCACACTCTTCTCATCTGTAAAATGGGGCAACAGGGCTACTCTCCGGATTAAATGAGTGAATATATGCAACGAACTTAGAACAGTGTCATTGTTCTGAGTGCACGTTCGGTTTCCTTAATAAGATCTCTTGAAGGCACGGTCCTAGCTTCTGTTTCCTTAGCACCGCGCGCAATAGAATACTCAATGTCTGCATGTCTTTCAAAACAAAGGAACGGAGGCTACGCGCTAGGTTACGACCGTCCAGGAGACCGACGTGAAAAGCGGCGAAGGCGGAGAAAGGCCGCGACTCCGCGCCCCCGGCCCACGCGAGGCCGCCACTTCGTCAAACAGAGCAAAGTCCTCTGGGAAGTGTAGTCTTTAGGCCTCGAGAGGGATTTCAGCCACGGGCCCGAGCGATTTAGTTGGCGGGGGTGGGAGGGAGTCGTAGTTAGCGAGTAATTCAAAAGTGTTCGTAGCCCGAGAGGTGGGTGAAGCCGCTCACCTGAGTCTCCCAACACCAGGACCTTTACTCGATCCAGGGACGCCATCTTGCCACTGCCTTCCGGGGTTCACGCCTGTTCCTGATTTTAAGCCAATCAGAGCTGGGCACGGAGGGCGGAGCCTTCCCTGTCATTGGCCAATCGGAGTGTGACTCGCTTCATTGACGGCTTCGCTGTGCTGATTGGCCGGCTCGGTTGAAAGTAGCGGGTGGCTCCCAAAGCTGGTCGCAGGAATAAGGCGTTCTCTTTGTCGCACGAATGGCGAGGCTCGCTGGAGCCGGTAGTTGAGGCGCTGAGGGAAGCTGTAGTGCCAGTGTTCGAGGATTCGCCTGGGTAAACCTTGTTCCCTGTTCCTTGTTCTGGGTTCCCTGGCCCGGAGTCGTGTTTCAGGGTTTCTCCTTTTCGCTCCTTTCTCCTTAGCTACGCTCCTCCTCTAAGCTGCTCTCTGGACTGGGTTCTCTAAAGAGCCATGGAGCCCGGTGCGGCCCGTGTGCGACCTCGGGCAGGACCATGGGCTCCACCGCGTGTGGCCCCCGCACTCGGCTGGCAGAATCCGAGGGAGTCGGGGGTCGCGAAGTGTGGGGAGGAGTGGACATGACTGCACCGGGCTCGTGGAGGGCAGCTGGGTCCAGAGGTTTCGCGGTGGTCTGCAGCTTTCTTATGTAGGAAGGCGTGGAGAGACCATGAAACATGGTAACTGGAAAAACAAAACAAAACAAAAAAAACCCTCTGCAGTTAAATGTATAAGATTCAAATTCGTATAGAACTGGCATAGTAGTATATTGGAATAATCGACTGAATTAATAAACTGGACCACCCCCCGCAACCTCTTCTTTCTCCGTTTATCTTATACCCTGAGCATAATCTTTTAAAATTGCAGATTTGGTCCTGTTGCTTCCTGCCTAAAACCATTTGAAGTTTAAGAAGAGGGATTCCACTACTAGCCTGTCTTTTTCTGCTCTGGAAGCCGCGGTGGAGGCAATAGAGTGTGGGGAAGTTGGCGGGACAGGCCTATGGGAGGAACACGTGCTTGGGGAAGCCCCCGGGAGTTTTAGGGCAGCCCCTGACGAGCGGTGCCGGGTTTTGAAAAGTCAGTGGTGAACGTGATATTCCCGTTCTCAGACAGATAGGAGAGTACAAGTCTCTTCGCTGCAAGGAAGGAGGTTGGGAAAGAGCCTCGGGAGCTTGTGAAATGGGATTGATCACACTGAGCTATTCGGGGAATCTGGGAAGGTCTCCGAGGAAATGTCGTTTGAGATGCGAAGGATGATTAGAAGAGAGTTTGAGCAGGGAGAACGGAATGTGCAAAGGCCTGGAGGTGGGGAAGGCGTATGTGGCTGATGGAGTTGAGAGCGTGCCAGTGTGGCTGGAGAGAAGAATGACGGGGTTAGACAGTGCAGGGAACTCATTCATTTCCATTTTGTTCCTCCAGCTCTGTGCCTGGTGCAGTGTCGTTCTTCAATGTTTGTATGCCTATCGTGCATATGATTCAAAAACAAGAACTTTGGGGAGCTGTGCTGGGTAGGGAGGTAGGTGAGACTGGGAGGGACTGAGACTCTGAAGGAATAAAGAAGAAGAAAAGGGGTTGCCCTGAGAGGTTACAAACTTAAAAATTTCCAGAGACCAGCCAGTCAAGCTCTTTCCCTGTTTAAAAGTGACAGCTGCTTTTCAGCTTTTTTCTTCTTCTTCTTCTTCTTTCATATGGGAACCTGGTCTCACTTTTCCTCAGATATTTCCAATTTTCAAGAGGAGCTGAAAGTTGAGATTTATGTGAAATCCCACTATTTTTAATGTTGGCAACTAACTCAGAACATTTTCAAGACATTCTTTTGGTCAAACAGTGTGGTAGAGGCTGCCAGTTTGGTAACTCTGACCTAAATAATTTAAGAAATCCAGAGATTGAGTAGGAGATTTAGCATATGTGGGGAAGTAGAAGTGATAGAGAAGAGAAGGCAGTGGTCAGGAAGGACGATTTTAGAAGGGAGAAATTTCGAACGAGGTGGCATGATTTCTTCCCTGAGCTCCAGTTTCATTCATTCAGCTACCTGCTGGACATCTTCACAGGAATATTCTGTAGTATTTCCTCAAAGAGAAGCAACTAAAAGTGAATGCCTCATTTCTTTCTAACATGTTTCTCTGCAGGTGTTAGCCTATTTTTTCATAGTAGTACTTTTCTTGGTTACACTGGCTTAAAACAAATAGCTATATCTTTTTGTATTAATAACATTCTTGTTTAATGGTTATAGCGTTTCAGTTTTATAAGATGAAAAGAGTTACGGAGATGGATGGCGGTGATCGTTATATGATGTTATGAATGTATTTAATACCACTGGACTGTATACTTAGAAATGGCTAATTGGTAAATTTTGTTATGTGTATTTTACCATAATAAAACATTTATTTAAAAATAAATATTTATTTGGTTAAAAAAACAAATAATTACTTAAAATTTTTCTGCTTTTTAAATCCCATTTCCAATATATTATTGAGCCCTTTGATTGTGTTTCTGAAAAGTAGAATTATCTAGGGAGCATCCTGTTCTCTTGCTATAGTTTGCTCTCTTTCTTAATTCACGTTTGTTTACTATAGCTCCTAATACTTCCATATACATCCATCTTCACTTACCTTGATCCATTCTTCATATTGTTGTAGAGTCACTTTTCTAAAAAGGAGTTCTTAGTGTTAATACAAATAATGGAACTCTTATGATGCCACCTCTGTAAGCAGCATATTTTTCATGGATTATCTCATTTAATACATGCATCAACTCTATGAGGAAGGAACTGTTAATCACTTTTTATGCATGAGGAAACAGAATTTTCAGGGCCACGGGTTAAGAAATGGTGGAACCTGGGATTCAAAACCCAAAACTATTGGACTGCAGAGTCCTCATGCCACTCCCTTGCTCTAATCGTTAGGACCCTCTAAGTTAGTGGTTCTCAACCTTGGCTGCACATTAGAATCACCTGGGAATCTTTAAAATCCTGATTTCTGGGCCTCATCCTCTGAAAATTCTGTTTTTGTTACTAATGTTGTGGCCCCACCCCATAACAAAGAAACAGAATTTCCGGAGGATGAGGCCCAGAAATCAGGATTTTAAGAAGATTCCCAGGTGATTCTAATGTGCAGCCAAGGTTGAGAACCAATAGTTTCAGGCAGTGGAAACAGGCTGAGTAGCAGAGGGTCCTCAATGCATGATGTGTGTTGGCATAATATATAATAGCCAGTCACCAGATTGTCTGGAGTGTAGTGGTCAGGGACTTTTCTGTTTATTGGAGTCACCTAAAGAGTCTTTAAAATATGATGCCTAATCTGATCCTCCCAGACTAGCTGAAACAGAATCTCTGGGAATGGGGCCCACGTGGGTACTTTCAAATGCTTCCTAGATGGTTCTACTTTACAGCCAGGGTTGAGAACCATTGATTCCAGAATATGGAGTGTATGTGGTGGGAGGTCAGGGAGGGGAAATAGTGTTGGAAAAGTAGGTTATTTTGACATTTGTCTGCCATTCTTTGGTCTGTTGTGTTCTGCCAATCATTAAGCATGTAAAAAACACAAAAACAGCTGTGTTTAAGTACAGTCTATCAACTAAATTGGAAAGGAGAGCAAAATGCATCTGATAGTGTGCTATAAATACTTTGGTGTTGAACCTAGGCACTTGCTTGGCACCCTTGATCCTTGGGATAACAGGAAGGTGGTAAGACCACAGGTTTGGATCTAGGTGCTACTTTGTTATCTCATAGTCATGCCTGAGGGTTTACAATAGGAAATATATATTTAATTGTAACTAACTTTCCTTTTATTTTTTTCTTTATTGCATGTAGGGCATTATATCCCCCCCCCTCTTCCCCAAATGTGTATAGATTGGTTATTTAGGAATATCTTTTTAGTATAATACTGTGAATATAAAAATATTTCTTATGAAAGGAGATACTGTTGATAGCCACTGATTTGAAATAAAAAGATTCAGTAGATAAGCAGTGTTAATTACAAAAGATGACTCCCTTTTGATATTATTCAATGGGATGTCTCTTAAAAATTTCCCTATGGTATAGGGAATTTCATTTGACAGTATGTCTGGATAGCCTGACCATTTTTACTTTGGGACATATTAAATCTATATGGAAGCTATTCTTTTTTAAAAAAAAATGTTTTAATTGATTTTTTTTTTTTTTTTTTTTTGAGAGAAACATCAATTGGTTGCCTCCTGTACCCACTCTGACCAGGGATCTACCAGGGAACAACCCACAACCTGGGTGTGTGCCCTGACTGGAAATCAAACTGGCAGCCTTTTGGTGCATGGGACAATGATCAACCAACTGAGCCACCCCCACAAGGGCGATGTGGGAGCTGTTCCTACTAAGTGCTTCCTAAGCACATTACTTACATTCTCATTTATTCATCACAACAACCTTATTGAGATAGCTGATATTGTTATTTCGCTAAGAGAATAAAATATGGCTTGTGGTGGTATAAGTGATTTGCTTAGGATCACACAGCTACTAAAACACAGGTTGTCCAACTCTGACTTCCAAAGCCCACCCTTTAAAACAATCACATGAAAGTCTAGCCCATGCCATTTTGGGCTTCAAAAAGAAAGCTTTTTGGGTCATGATATAAGAATTGGGTACAATTGTTTTGCAAGGAAGTCCAGTATTTAAGGATATCTTGGGGTGTGTGTTTGCTTTTTAAGGACTATATGGTATTAATTGGTCATTAGATTTAAGTTAACAAGGTTGGTAAAGCTATCTAGATCTAAGTGTTAATTTCTTTCATATTTATAGTAATAATTTTGCTAAGCACCCCAGTTGGTGATTACTTATGTGTTTTTTGGTTTGTTGTGATTTTATTGTGGAAGCATGACTATGTAAAACATTCTAGAATCTATCCTGTGAGAAATTTTTTTAAATTATATTTTTTAACCCTCACCTAAGGATATGTTTTTATTGATTTTAGAGAGGGAGGGAGGGAGAGAGAGAGAAAAATACTGATGTGATCCCTAACCAGTTTGGCTCAGTAGATAGAGCGTCGGCCTGCGGACTCAAGGGTCCCAGGTTCAATTCCGGTCAAGGGCATGTACCTTGGTTGCAGGCACATACCCTGTGGGGATTGTGCAGGAGGCAGCTGGTCGATGTTTCTAACTCTCTATCCTTCTCCCTTCCTCTGTAAAAAATCAATAAAATATATTTAAAAAAAAAAAAAGAAAGAAAAATACTGATGTGAGCACTGATTGGAAGCCTCCTATACCCCCAACCGGGGATCTACCAGGGAACAAACCTACAACCTGGGTATGTGCCCTGACTGGGAATTGAACCTGTGGCCCTTTGGTGCACAGGATAGTGCTCCAACCAACTCAGCCATACCAGCCAGGGCTATCTTGGTAGAAAAATTTTACTCAAGAAATAAAGACACTTTAAGGAGATGCTAATGGTTAGACTTCTCACGGGGGGGTGGGGGGGGGGAATGGTGGGCGTAACCCAGCATTTCCAAAGATCTATAGCAGTGATTTTCAATTGGAGTACTGCCGCAGGCACGCTGATGTGCCACAAGAATTTTTAAACCATGGAATACCTGGCTATTTAAAAGACCTCTTTTCCCTTAGATTGTCAAATAAAAATATGACAGCAACCAATGCACCATAACCGGTGTGCCATGGAAGTTAGAAATTAATTTATATGTGCCATGAGATGAAAAGGGTTGAAAATCACTGATCTATATAGCATTAAGACTAATAAGACTTTATTTAATTTTTTGTGTTTCTCTTACTGAAATAAAGTGGGTTTGATAAGTGTCATTGCTATAAGTAATGTTAATTTTTTTAATCAAGCACATTGTAGATCATGAAAATAATCATTTAAGAAATATGCCAAGCTTTTTAGGTGTAATATTTTGTATACTTGGAGGAAAATCTTGTTCTCTGTTAAATGTTTTGGCATTATAAGTCTTATAAAACAATGTTCTGAGTGCCTTTATGGCACTCAAAGAGTAGTGATAGCTACCTAATGAGTTGATTATTCTAGATTTAAAATGATCACTGTGTCCTCATTGTGCCTATGTAATCTTCTCTTTTTTTCTGAATTCAGTACATTTAAAGTTGAAGTTTGCCGCTAAAGATGGCAGACCCAGATGTCCTCACCGAGGTTCCTGCATCATTGAAGAGGTTAGCCAAGTATGTGATCCGGGGCTTCTATGGCATTGAGCATGCTTTGGCCTTGGACATCTTGATCCGGAACCCCTGTGTGAAAGAGGAGGATATGTTGGAGCTGCTCAAGTTTGATCGGAAGCAGCTTCGTTCAGTTTTGAATAATTTAAAGGGAGACAAGTTCATCAAATGCAGAATGAGAGTAGAGACTGCTGCAGATGGGAAAACCACTCGCCATAACTACTACTTTATCAATTATCGTACTCTTGTTAATGTGGTAAAATATAAATTGGACCACATGAGAAGGAGGATTGAAACTGATGAGAGAGATTCCACCAACCGGGCTTCCTTCAAATGTCCTGTCTGTTTTAATACTTTTACAGATTTAGAAGCTAATCAGCTCTTTGATCCCAGGACAGGTGAGACTTTTCCTTATGAATCTTTTAAGTAACTTTTAAAAATAAAATATGTATTCTTTTTCTTAAATTGATTCATCTAATTTTTAAGCCAATCATGTATCTTACCTAATAATAGACAAACATGTAAATTGACCGTACCTTCGCTATGCTAATCAGCCAATCAGGAGAGTATGCAAATTAACCTAACAAAGATGGCGGTTAATTTGCATACGTAGGCTCCAAGCGGTGGAGCAAAACCTGACGGGCCAGGGGCCGGAGCAGCGACGACCCCGGGGCCGGCGGCGCAGCAAAACCTCACGGGGCCAGCAGCGCAGCGAAGCCTCACGGCCCTGGGGCCGACTCCGGCTGGAGCCCGGCCAGAGCAAAGGCCTGGGTGGCGGGTGGCGGAGGAAAACCGGTGCCAGCAGCCAGGGGAAAGGAAGGCCTATTGCACGAATCTCTTTGTGCAACAGGCCTCTAGTATCATTATAAAAGTGAATGGACTGGTGTAAATCACTATATGGTCTGTGTTAGTCTTACTGCCCTGTTTGAGCTCTTATAAAGCCTTTCTCCTTCACAAAGGAGTGCACTCTTCCACCCATGGCCTTCCTACCTCTGTTCCCACCTCCACCCCTACTTACAGGTACAGCTCAATCTGAAAGGTTGACTTCTCTATCACTTGAAGACTATTCTGACCATTTCACTTTTGACCTCTTCATCCAGTATATATTTAGCACCTGTTTATGCCAGTCACTGCCAGGCAGTCACAGTACAGTGCATATAAATGTTATGTTAGTGGAAGTGTAAAGTGCTATCAGGAGTACATAAATAGGGCTTCTAATCTGGAATGGCCTCTGAAAGAGCTTAAGTAACAGCTGAGACTTAAAAGATAAGAGCCAGATGCAATTAGAGGGGCATCCTTTCCTTCAAATGGATGGATATTAAATCTCTTAGGCATTACTTAGTGGAAGAAAACTGTCAACAAGATATATATATTTTTCCATTTAAATACTTTAGTTAAGGATCTTTTTAATCAACCAGAATTTACAAAACACATTTTTCAAATAGTTCAGTATGTCTGGCATTAATATCAAAAACTTTAAAGCGCTGGGTTATATAGTTATTTTGTCTTATCATTTATAAACAGGTAAAGAGACTATAGTTTTGCTAATTATTCAGTAGACAATTTGGTCTTACTTTCAAGTGTAAAAATCAATAGAAAGAGTCAATGCTGTTAAGTTAGATTGTCCTTTTGTTATGGCTGAATTCAGGAGTAGAGGTGACTTTCTAAAAAATTCCTAGATCTGCCTTTGAAAAAAACTATCAAAAATGTAATTTAAACTTTTACATGTGAAATTTTTATTGTAAAAAAATTACAGATTTGTCCAGCTGGCTTCGCTCAGTGGTTGAGCATCGACCCAAGAATCAGGAGATCATGGTTCCATTCCTGGTCAGGGCACATGCCTGGGTTCTGGGCTCGATCCCCAGTAGGGGGGCAAACAGGAGGCAGCCGAACAATGATTCTCTTACATCATTGATGTTTCTATCTCTCCCTCTCCTTTCCTCTCTGAAATCAATAAAAATATATTTTTTAAAAATTACAGATTTTTGTACATGTTTAATTTTCTAATTTTTGTACATGTTACATATTGTACACTTAAAATTTTTTAAGTGGGAAATAATCTCAATATCAATTAAGATTATTAATAAAAAGAGCTAGCTTAGGACCCCCCCCCCCCTTCTTTATGTGAAGCAGTCATTTTGGATGGAAAGTCATTTAAAGAATTCTCATTTGTGTTAAATGTTTATTTTGCCCGAATCGTTTCACCTTGAACGGACTTCACTAGGAAGGCTCTTGTTATAAGAAAATCTAACCATCCTGAGTATAAGGATTGTTTGAGTGTGCTATAGAGGAAGTTGTAGAATATATCTGGAGTTCTTTCAAAATAAACTAGGGAAATCTCGTGTTTTTTGCTATTCACGTTAACAGATTTTTTTTTCTTTTATTATTATTTTTAATCCTAACCCGAGGATATATTTTTATTGATTTTTGGGGATAAGGGGTGGGGAGAGAGAAACAGAAACATATGCACAGGAATCAAAACTCTCAATCTTTTGGTGTACAGGACAGTGCTCCAACCAACTGAGCCAACCTGCCAGGCCAATTCTACCCGATTTCTTAAAGGAGCTCTGGGTTTTGGTTTTGTGATTCTATGCAGATGTTGGTGTTACAGTTAGTGGTCATCTTCATCACTCTTGATTGCAGTAGAAGGTGTTATCCAGTCCCTCAAAGAGGGTAATCTAAAGTAATGTGCTTCTACTACATTTATTCATCATTTTATTCTTATTTCATGAAGCTTTCTAAAAGGAAGTTACTCCAGTATTTATATTAGTATTTAGGAGATTGATCTATGATGCTCTTTGAATTTCACCCAACGTTAGTGCCTGAATGAAGCTAATTGTAATCAACAGCTGGGTAGCCTATGGAAGAGATGGCCTAACACCCAAATAGTCAAGGTTATTTAAATCAGGGAGTTGAGATAGAGTAGGGGGCATGAAAATATTTTATGAAAGAGAACTAAAACTGTAATAATTATTTTGTGGCCAGTCTGAACAAAGACTTTTTAATATGAAGACTATGGTCAGCATGAAGGTGGAAAGAAGGGGTTCAAGGAAAGTAAGAATAAATCATTTTACCTTGGTATCACTTGGGGGAGGGTGCCCTGGGGAATGTACTCGCCTTTTGATTATAATTTGGCTTTTCATTTGGACTTCCTTTAAGGACAGAATGTGCTGACTGGGTGATATTAGGACCCAGCCTGCTTGTCAATTTTGTCTTATTTTTCACTATTACCTTATACCTTCTGTGTTCTATACATTCCCTTTAGAAACTTTGGTCTTTTTTTCCCTTCCTGGTTTGCTCAGAATTCATTCCCTTCCCACTCATTTTGAAGAAGATGGGAAATAAACATTTGGGTATGTGTATCAGAGTAGGGGGGAAGGCTTTTTTGCTGTAATATTGTAATATTAATGCTCTGTTTAAGTTGATAGATTACAGTTTTCATTCTAAGCCCAATCTTGTACAAAGCTATTCTATTTCTTGGTTGCTGTTGGAGATTGAGGATGTTTCTGACCAAATGATGGGATTTCTAATGAGCTATCTTTATTCCCATCTCAACAGTTATTAGGTTGAACTCTTATATTATCAAATAGGGGTTATTCAGGAATTAGATTTGAAGCCTTCTAGACTTTACTGCTTCCCTGATATAAAGTTTTGAACTCAATTGTATGGGCAGCTCTGATGTCGAACCTTTTGAGCTCGGCATGTCAGCATTTTGAAAAACCCTAACTTAACTCTGGTGCCATGTCACATATAGAAATTTTTTGATATTTGCAACCATAGTAAAACAAAGACTTATATTTTTGATATTTATTTTATATATTTAAATGCCATTTAACAAAGAAAAATCAACCAAAAAAATGAGTTTGCGTGTCACCTCTGACACCCGTGTCATAGGTTCGCCATCACTGCACTAAAGGGTGGTGACTCCTAGATGAGCACCTGGGAATTCTGGGCTCAGGAAACTCTGAGTCCAACAAGAATTATTTTATTAAGGCTAATTCACACATAAGCCAGAGATCTTCCTACTTCAATTTACAGCTTTTCCTACCTCATCTCTCTTTTCTCTAAGAATTGTAGGTTCTCTTCATACTTTCCATTTTGGTGTTCTTGGGTTGAACTCTATCCAAATGTTTGATGGTTGTATGTGTGAGGTAATAAAAAATATATATTGATCTCTGCCCAGTTCCTTGGACAGATGTCCTAAAACCCTTGTAATTTCTTTTTTTTTAAAATTTTATTTCACTTATTATAAGCATTCTTCCTTATGAGTTTCTTTTTTTTTTAATTAAATCTTTATTGTTCAGATTACATCTGTTCCTCTTTTTTTTCCCCCCATAACTCCCCTCCTCCCAGTTCCCGCCCCACCCTCTGCCCTCCATCCCCACCCACTGTCCTCATCC